TAGATATGTTTTTCAATATTACAATTTTCAATTCAGGAAAACAGAAACAAATACTATGAGCATTACAGAACAACCAAGGTGGATTTAGAGCATCAGCAAGCAACAGACCCGTAGCCAGCACTTTTGAATAGGAGGTTCGAAAACAACAATACTATATTTGACGTGAAACGTGTGAATTTTATAATATTCAAAAAGTGTCTTTGAGCTCTGTTACAGACATTTTTATATTCTCGGTTTTAAATTCAATTGGTTTACTTTGTGTTACGTTGGTAAGTTATTTCACATAACATTATTGAACTATTTTACCATTTTAGAGAACCAGCCTCCAAACTACGGGCCTGCGCAACCTCGTAATTGAATCATGTCGGTGAAAGTGAAGATGTGAACACAAGTAGGAGGGTCTGCATTTGTTGTCCCAACAACGGCACGATCATTAATGAAATTGAAGATGGATTTTATTTCTGTTTCCCATTCCCATTTTATCTGCACCATAGAAATTTATATAATCTCCTTATTTTACTATCAACCGCCAATGAATATGAAATTTTAGATGTTAATGAGTTCTGACAAGGCTAAAATACAGCAAAATCTGGAGTTATATTATGCGTTATATGTGATCTCAAAGCAAGTTTGTCTGCTTTTGTCCGTATCAAGTAACAGTTTCCATTGAAAATCTGTAAATGTGCGCCCTCTCTCTACAAACTGTTAAATTAAACAAGACACTGAAAGTGGGATCTCAGTTAGTGCGCTATCAAGGTGATGTTTTTATAATACCCGAGATATAATACAATTCATTAATTTCTTCTTTCTCAATTTCGTCTACTTACGTATTTCAGTGTATTACATGTGTTTACTATTTCACGAATAATGTCATAGTTTAGAATCCATGGCAACTAATGAAGTTTATAGTTGCATGATAGACAAGAATTTGTCGAATTGAAAAAACAGGAAGATTAATTGTGACATATTAAATAATTTAAATTTAATATTTGCACTCCAGTAATAAATGTTGGTTGGCACCATCTCCGGAAACAATATGACGTCATTGTGACTTTAAAGTTATTTGCATATGCAAGCTGTGGGCCACTATAGATATAAACACACTTGGCGGGAAACAGTCGTAAGCAGATCAAGATGGCGGACTACATCAAGGTAATGTATACGTTCTTCTAGTTTTTTTTCTCTATATCACAACGAATCACATTTACTAAACGAATCACTGTCAATAGTTGAAGTGCGGAGAATCGTCGCCATTAGGGAGAGTTGTTTTCGACATAAAATGACCTGTGTATTGAGACTGATGCCGATGCCGGTCCCGTACATTAGCGATGCGACATTCATATCGGCAACTCATGATCGGTTACGATGTGACCTACATTACAGCGACATCCAAGACGTACGAACTGAAATGCTCACAATATTGGCTCTAAAATGGTATTTTTAAGTCATTGAATCATTTCATAGTGTGTGTTCCCTAACACCGGTGTTCTAACCTCTACTTCAACTGGAGTTTAGCTGAGAGTTTAGCCGTTGTTTTGCCCGACCTTGCGTGACATTGATTTCAAAATATTGTCATAATGTGTTACACTATTGATCCTCAAATCTGGTTTAGTAACAGTTGAGAGGTCAAGATCACGGTATACATCTGCCAGACTCTTTTCACGAGTCCGATATGGATGAGTAATACCATGGTAATACTAACACATGGCTCCATGTGTTCACTTCCTGACATGTGTGTGTGTGCCATCACGTGACCGCCATGATGGTATCAATGACTAAAGATTAGATACCATATATATATATTATTATACAGATACAGCAAAATTCGCCATAATGAAAAATAGCAAATGTGATTCCATCTATACTGATATAGATATTGTTTTGTGTTCGGATGCATGAACAATTTTTTTCCATCACTTCCAGGACTGTTTCAATCCTATTGGTTGAACTGTAACCTGTCATAAATTGGGTACTCCCCATGGTAGTCATGGTTATTTTATGATTGCTGCAATGATCTAAATATCGTAAATAATAAATAGTTGGCAACTATTCAAAACCAAAACTGTAAACAATAATTTGAGCCTCAATAATCAACGTATGACCTTGTCCTTTTTTGATTACTGTGGAATACTTTATTCCTTATACTTTATTATTTTTTGATGAGTTTAATGTGAAATATAGGAAAAAAAGTATATTCGCTGGATTTTATTTTCGCGGAATCATCCCTTCAGCGAAAATAGCGAAAATAAATTCCAAGCGAAAATAAAATATTCTACAGTATTTACATGTACAAGTTAGTATGGTAATACAAATGTACAAGTGAGTGAGTTTTCATGTATGTTGCTTCATATATGAAATCAAACTCATTTCCTTAATTCCCATCCACATCTTATGGTCGCATCCAATCTTGTTTTGCTAGTTAAATTCAACTGCTATTGAAATTTTTTAAATATTTATAAAAATCAAGAGAATTTTTGTGCGCACAATTGTATTGTATTAGGTAAACCACAGGCAACAATTTTGATGGCACTACTCTCCTATGGCTGTAATTTACCTAATTTGTATTGAATTGTTGTGGTGTGGTTTTCAAACATAATAAAATCATTATATTCTGAGCCTTAAACAACTGCATTTACGCGTTAGTAAAATATTACGATTGAGCATACAGTACCCTTCACGAAAAAAAATAGACCACCATGTCCCCACTAATTTGCATAAAAATAGATTATTGTTATCCACTATTGCATTTATTGTTGTGGGAATTTTCTTGAGTTATCTTGTATCAAAGATTTATCAGAAAAAAAAAATCATTTTCATCATTTCTCAATCGAAAAATGATAATAATCATTCTGATGTATTCACTACATTGACAACCAAATTATTTTACTAGAAAAGCATTTGCACTAAAATAATTTTTAATATTGATTTATGCTATTCTGACATCTTCAGTCTGAATAACTGACAAGTATGAAAAAAATGTACACAGGATTAATTTGTTAAATTTTCTGATGAGAATCATTTTAAAATAGTTTTGTTTGTGATCAATGAAACAATTATGATTTTTTTTTGTCTTGTGAGATTCCATAAAATTGGTGCGGTTACATGTTTAAATTTTGTTGGAAAGCAGGAAAATTGTTGTGCTTAATGTGGGCGATTCTTTTTGAAGTGACTTGCACAATGACCATAAGCAGAATGCTCATAATAAAACGTATATTTTTCAGTAAGGGTTGTAAACTCAAAATTATGATTGTAAACAGCACGCATCAAACTCATACAGGAGTAAAATAAATATAAATCAGATGATTTATTGAGTGTAGGGTTGTTATTGAAGAATGTATTTTCTAACTAGGTTGGGGAAAGGTCGTTATTGCGTTCTGAGCAGTTCATCTCATTGTAAAACCAGTGTACTTTAATTAGGACAAGTATGACTCGTACTGATGTTTTATTCACTGCATTAAATATTAATACATTATCTTATAATATCCAGAGGCTATATAAGTCTTGGGTATAACATATTTATTATTATAAAGAGTATAATAATTACACAATGGGCTGCAGGAAAATTATATTGTAATAATTCATTGGGATACGTTTTTAATTGGAACATAGTCAAATGCTATTCTCTATGATATCACGTACCACCTCTATTGGCAGTGGATACTCGATATCAACGGTTATCAAACAAATCATGTATAACCTGTCATCAAGCGTCTTTAATTGAATGATATCAAGGCAGCTGGACTTATGGGTAACATTCCACATGCAAATTTTTCACTTCTATAATCAGCTCTTTTTTCTAGTATTTGTATTACCGGTAGTAATACCAATTTATCATTGCTTGACATTCTCCTAGAAGGACTCGTAAGGTTAGGCCAGGAAAAAATAAATCTTTCTTTCTCTTAGATCATTATATTTAGTAAAAGACATAAGACATTTTTCCTGACATGGCTTGGGAGAGCTGTTGTGTGCAATTAACACAAGACCAACCAAATTTTTATTGAATGAGAGAGGCATTGTCACTTGTTGCCCTTGGTGATGACCCAAAAATATTTCATTTGTCAGATGAGTATAAACAAAAATTTTTTTTTTGCCGTATGTATGAAAATATGATATTGATAGATTAAAATGTTGAGTACCAAAATACATTACCAATATTACCGGTATTATTAATATCAAATATAAATTAGGTTTTTAGGATAAAGAGAATTAAATTATTTCTGGTCAGTACAGTTTGTTTTAAAGATGTGTACTACTCCTGATTTTCACCAAAATATTGTAAATAAAAAAAAAAAATTCCACTGTAATTAAAATGGGACGCACATTGCCTAGCATTGCAGTAATTGATATGGTTTCTATGCCAACATGTGTAAAAAAAAAATATTCTCACAAATTTTGAACACGCAGTGAGTGACGGAATTCAGGTAATTGACAGCATGGGAATTGACATCAGCTGATTATTGTATGGGATACACACAACTGGTACTCTACAGATGTTTGGAGTACTTGTTTTTGTAGCTCTTGACATGCTGTTACTGTTTACAATATATTGTGTATATGTATACGGTTCTAATAGAGGAAAGTATATTCTACTTTTCTGCAAAGTTCAGAATAAATCGATTGTGGGAAATTATTGTGGGTCCAATATTGACGTTATTTAATAAACAAAATAAATTGAACACTTGCAACAACCGTCACCCTTTGATCTTGTGCTACTGCAAAATACTTTAATTTCGCTTGGAATTATTTTTCCTATCTTCGCCGAAGGGGGATGATTCAGTGAAACTAAAATCTAACAAATGTACTTTTTTCCCCTACATTTTCGAATCAGCTCG